TATAGAAAAAACATTTGGATATACAACTTGATTTTTTCTGTACTTGGAGATGTTTTCTAGTTTCTTTGGATCTACCCTGAATGAGAGATCTTATGAGAGTAGGCCAAAGTAGTATGACTGGTAAATTTTCCTTTAGAAGGAATGTTTGTGACACGGACAATGGAGCTAAAGACAGTTCCTGAGCCCCTTAAATATAGGAGTGAGGAGGGCTTTTTGCATTGGAGCACCCAAATCCATATTATATATTTTAATTTCCTTTGTAAAGCAATTGTGAATAATGCTGCAATAAACATGAATGTACAAATGTCTTTCCAATAGACTGTTTTCCTATTCACTGGGCAAATACCAAGAAGTGGGATTATTGCATCATATGGAAATTCTATTTGTAGGTTTTTGAGGAAACTACATATTGTTTTGCACAGAGGTTGTACTAATTTACATTCCTCCCAACAGTGTAAGAAGGTTCTCTTTTTTTTTTTTTTTTTTTTTTTTCTATAGGCTATAGGACACGTGTGCTTGCCAGACAGACAGAGAGAGACACAGAGACAGAAAGCAAGAAATCACCCCCCAGAGGGGATGGTCACGCCACAATCCCTTCTCCTCCATTCTCCTCTCGGGATCTTGGGCACGCATGCACACATGCCCGGCATGAGTTTTAAGCCACCGGGTCCGGGACACGAACCGCGGTCGACTACGTGGGAGTCCAACGACATAGCCATTACGCTAACTGCTGGTTCCCGTGGAGGGTTCTCTTTTCACCACAGCCTCATCAGCACGTGTCATTCTTTTTTCTTTTTTTTTTGGTCCTGGCCATTCTAACTGGAGTTAAATGATATCTTACTATGGTTTTAATTTTTGTTTCCCTTTGTTTGGAGAGGAGACTTTGAACATTTTTTTATATGCCTTTTGGCTATTCATCAGTCTTTTTTTGAGAGTTATCTATTTAATTCATTCGTGCATTTTTTAAATTGGATTACTCAATTTTTTATGGGCAAACTGCTTGAGTTCCCTATATATTCTGAGTATCAATCCTTGTCTGAGGAATAATTTGCAAATATTTCTCCCATTCTGAGGGTTGTCTTTTCACTAATAATAATTATATTGTTTCCTTTGCTGTAAGGAAGCTTTTTTTTTTTTAGTTTGATATAATCCCATTTGTCTATTTGGAGATTGTTGTCTGCTTGATAGATTTTATTTAAGAAATCTTTGCCTACTCCAATGTCTTCAAAAGTTTCCCCTATATTTTCTACTAGTAGTTTCATAGCGTGAGGCTTTATATTTAAATCTTTAATCCATTTTGAGTTGATTCTTGTTAATGCTGAGAGATAGGGGTCCAGTCTCACTTTTATGCAGGTGGATATCCAGTTCGTCTAGCACCATTTGTTGAAAAGACTTTTTTTTCCCTTCACTACATTGTCTTGTACCCTTTGTCAAAGATCAGTGGCTGTATGATTTGGGGTTTATTTCTGGATTCTCCCTTCTGTTCCATTGGTCTATGTGTCTATTTTTGTACCAGCACCATACTGCTTTATTATCCCTACTTTGTAATATATTTTGAAGTTGAGAGGTGAGAAGCTTCCTATTTTATTCTTTTAGCATAGTATTGTCTTTGTGATGGGTGGTATTTTATGATTCTAGACAGATTTTTTTATTTTTGAGATTTTTGCTGTAAGGTGTATGCACTCACTGGAGAGACAGAAACCTAAACATCAACCCCTGGGGGGCATGGTTACACTACAATCCCTTCTTCTCCATTCTCCTCTCAAGATTTTGGGCATGCACACACATGTGCCAAATGTTTCAAGCCATCAGGTCTGGGACTCAAACTTTGGTCGATCATGTAGGAGTCCAGATCCTTAGTCACTACACCACTGCTACACCACCTGCTGGCACGCCCTAGACAGATTATATATATATATATGTGTGTGTGTGTGTGTGTGTGTGTGTATAATTTGGTAAAGAATATCACAGGCAATTGCATCACATTGAATATGTAAATTAATTTGGTTAGAAATGACATTTTGATTATATTGATTCTTTCAATCCAAGAACACAGAATATCCTTTCATTTTTTTAATCTCATACTCATTTTTTTTGGTTGCTAATTTTATAAACAAAATTGTAACTTATTATCTTCATAGGCATTTCTTTGAATGCCTGTGAAGAATTTTCAAGTTTAAATAGTTTGTAAGTTTTTGAAAGAATATGAAAACATAGATATTATTTTGCCAAAAAATGTATGAACATGTGACTTATCTTGTTCACCTTTTTTTAAAAAGGAAGATCAGATTATTCATTCTCTCTAGAACTTAGATGTAAATAATTACTTCAAAGTTTTTCTACTCCTGGAAACAAATGTATTCTATGAAACTTTTATTTTCTTTGTACAAATCTTAGATTGGAAGGGGTCTCCCTGCTAAAAAGAATTATTACAGAAGGTTGCAAGAATGGATTTCAAATGGCTGAGGAGAATTTAGCTTTCTCTGAGACCTTAATATTATTTTACTTTTTCCCATTGCAATATGTATGTCTTTATCTTGGCAAGTCAAAAAAAAATTGCCAAGTAATATCATTCTACCAACCTCCATGTTTTAAGTGGTTTTATTCAAGTGCAAGGAGTTAAATACCCTTTGTCCTAAGCTAATAGCATAGTCATTAGTGTAGATCTGGAATTTGCAAGGAAAATACAGGATATAGTGGGAGTGACTCAAGTTGAACTCCCCTTTAGTTTGCTAGACCTGGAGAATTCCTTCACTTAGTCACTGCTTGGAGGTTAAAAGTCCAGATTTTTATTACTGATATGTATAATATGAATGACTCTAAAAAAATGCTAAGTGAAAGAAACCAGGCACAAAATGTTACATGATTCCATTTATAAGGAAGATCCAGAATAGATAAAGCCATCACAACAGAAAGTAGATTAGTGGTTGCCTGGCTTTGTGCAGAGGAAGGAGTGAAGCAAAATTTTTGAATATGTGTGGGGTTTATCTTAGAACAAGGGAAATGTTTTGAAACTAGAAAGGGGTGATGGTTGCACAGTCTTGTGAATGTACTCGATGTCGATTGTTCATTTTAAAATGGTGAATTTTGTCTTATGTAAATTTCACCTCAATAAATTTTTTTTTAAAGTCCATGTTCTGGAACCTAACAAACTTGAAACTGAATTCATATTCTATCATTTTCTAACTGAGTAACCTAGAGTAAATTATTTTTAATCTATTAACTTTAACTCTATTGGTAGTTAATATTTTGACCTTAAACCTACATTTCCTTTAATGTCCTAATATGAAAACAAAGATTACTAATGGTCAACCAACCAGACCAGATTGCTGTGAGAATTATACAAAATGAAGTACATAAATCCTTTGGTGCAGTGGCTGGGACATCCCAATTTCCCAAGAAGTGGTAGCTTCGACCACGACAATTCCTACTTTTGGTGTTAGCATCAGTAGCTGCAGAGGAAGCAGCAGTAGTAATGTTATCAGATGGTGAAGCTGAGCTGTGTAAAATACTTGATTCTCCCGGTTCAGATCTAAGATTACAGACCCTCCCTGAGATGCAGAAAGAAGCCACAAACAGAGTAAAGTAGGAAAAGAGAAGTTTTTCTCATAGCAAAGTGAAGATTTTAAAATTTTTGCTATAGGCATGTGTGCACACCAGAGAGAAACAGAGAGAGATGGTGAAGAAAGTGAAAAATCACCCCCAGTGGCGATGGCCACACTACAGTCCCTTCTCTTCCATTCTCCTCTGGGATCTTGGACCCACACATACATTATTTATTTGTTCTTCGTATGGGTTCCTCAAATCAAAAGAAAGCTGGGAATCTTTTTATGACATAGAAATATACTACTTCGTAAAGTTTCCTTGTGACTGCTATCTCCTTTGTTCTCCTGAAGCCTAATCAAAAGAAATGTAAAGTATAGTCAACATAAATACAACTTGTTGAATGAGACAATCAAGGTACAATTTGTTGAAACACCATGTTCTCCAATGTCCAGCTTGTCCACGGAGTGGAAAGTAAGAAGAGGCCATTAATGTTATGGAAAATGCATAGCCTTTGATGTGAGGCCATTACGATGGACACAGATTTTCATTTTAGCACTGTTATTAGCCATGTGGCCGTGAGCAAAATCTGAGCTTTTGGGGCTTTAATGTCCTTGTGTGAAGAATGGGAATAATAAAATTCATTTCCAACAGTTATTGAAAGTATTGCTTGAGTTATCCTGTGTGGAGTGACTTAGTGCTCAGCAAAATCTGAAAATAAATGTACTTTCCCCTTACACTGTAAGAAGCAAGAGAGCTGTTATGGCAGTTTTTGCAATTATAGTAGCCAGCAAATTGTGTGTGCTGTTATGTGTTAGGAAATGCTTACTTAGTGCTTTCTACACATTATCTCAATTAAATCCTTACCTCAAGTCTGTGTAGTACACATTATCATGCGCGGTTTATAACTGTAGAACAAAAAGGCTCAGAGATGTTAAGCAATCTGTCCAAGATGGCTCTGCCAGAAAGTATACGAGTGAGATCCAACCTAAGTCTCCTTGGCAGTAAAGCTTGCGCATGTAAGCTATTCTACCACCAAAAGTCTTGAACTAGAGTCTGGCCGAGATTTAGTTTAGTTGAGTTGCAATTTGTTGAACTAATCTTCTGAGAAACACAGTATATCTGTGGTCTTTTGGGCCTGGAGATTCCACTACTGTTTAGACTGCTTGTGACAGAAACAATAGCTTTCGAACAGGCCTGGCAAAGGCTAGGCATGTACCTGCAGCCCACTGCATGCTGATGGGAAGGTCAGATGTCCGTCGCTCAGCTGGATGAAACCGAGTCAAGGAAAACCACATGTAAAAATACATTTATTTCCAAAATGCTGGTGCATCTGCAAGGGTGTTAACTGGCAGTGATATTCTTGGCATTCATTGAAAACACCCCAGGCTGCTTAGGTAATTAATTTCCTAGGGTTAGTCATTAACAGGCTTCCTGCTTTGCTCCTTCTTTGACAGGCCCAGCTGTGAGATACAGCAAGTTCAAGATGTCAGAGGCTGAGCCACCTCCCCTGCTCGGGCAGCACACAACACACATCCTGAAGGAGGTTCTCAGATACGACGACTGGGCCATCGGGGAGCTGCTCAGGGCAGGAGTGGTGACTCAACACAAAGCCGAGTGACACAGGAAAAATGTTCTTCTTCAAAACCACAATCTGAATCTGCTTTGCTGGCAGAGGCAAATTGTCTGGACCCTTTTCCCCACTTCTGAAGCCACTGAAGAGATGATTTAGGGGAGCTCCAGATTTCTTTCTTGGTGTCTCCAGAATAGCTCTGGTACTAATGAACCTAGTGCCTTCTAAGTGTACCCCAGCTTTCATTCTCTGCCATTTTTTTAGATGATTTAATTGTGGAATTGTGGAATTTTTTTGAAAAAAATGTAATTTTTTTTTCTGGAAAAATACACTCCTCATTCTAATTATATTAATGGCCTAAACATTTGCCCCTCCGGCCCACACAGGCCTGAAAAATATCAGATCTTTTGACATTTTCTACTTGTACATAAAGTCCTCATTTAAATCTTTGTTAGGAAGTCAAAGCAATAAGCAGAATGACAGTTTCTGAGATTGATTTTAAACAGAATAACTTAATTTTGAGCTCATGAATCCTTTGTTAGTCTGTAATTCAAAACACGGACTTCACTGATGTCTGTTATTACTCAGCTCCATTCTCCCCTGTGGAAATGAGTATTTGCTTTATGTTGTATTTGTGTGGTGATTTCAAAATATGTGCCAGAAAATTGGTTTCTATCAATGCATTTAGGAGTGTAGGTGTCTAACTTGGGAGTGGGGTGGGCAGGAGGTGAGACGTGTGCTTATTTTGAGCCAATCCAAATGCAACAGGTTTTTAAATAAATGTTAGATTACTATCCAGGTATTAAATAATGTATAAATAAGGACAAATAGGAGAATCAAAGGAAAACATTTCTTTGTAATCTGAGCATGTCTTCTCATGTCTTAGTATCAAGTACTTTTCATTTGTCAGTGACTTTGAAGTATAAAAAACATCTTTGGTCCAGAAGGTGACAAGTGTGTTCCAGGATAAATTGTCAGTCAAGACTGCTGAGCCCAGGTACAGATCAGGGAATCAGATGACTCCAAAGTCAGCATTTTGGTAGGACCTCAAGTCTTGAGTTTTGGGGGCACATGTTTTAGAGCAATGTCATTACATACCAACTGACCAATGAAAACTAGATTACAGATATTCGTCTTTCAAACTGTGATTTAGAGCTAGTTTTCTTTTCATGTTCTTTTCTATTGGAATGATTTGAGTTATGTATCCATGCTGAAAGACCTAATGTGTTTTTAGATGCAAGATTCCAAATAAATGGAAAGCTTGTCTTCTTACAAGCCCTCTTAAGACTTTTTAGAATAATGCCTGCTCATTTTTGAAATAGTTGTTATCCTCCTTGCTTTGCTTTTTGTGGACATTTTATTCTGAAGAACTCCTGCTGTTATTCTACTAGTTAGATTTCGTGAATCAAAGGAGTGAATGGATGCTCTCTGTAGTACTTCCACCCATAGCTAATCCACATATCTGTACTGGGGAACACGCAATTCAGGCCAGAATTTTCTTTTATTCTTTTTATTGAGGGAGACTTTTGATACAGGGCATGTATGTACCAGAGACACAGAGAGAGACAGAAAGCAAGAAATCATCCCCCAGGGGATGTTCACACTGCAATCCCTTCTCCTCTCGAGATTTTGGGTATGCATACACACATGCTCAGCATGAGTTTTAAGCAACTGCGCTGGGGATTCTAACCGTGACCAACTGCGTGGGAGTCTAGCAGTGTAACCATTACACCATCTGCTGGTCCCCAGGTCAGAGATTTAAACAAAAATGTTTTATGTTTACATAATGAGAATAGGGACCAGCAGATGGCATCATGGTTACGTTGCTGGACTCCCATGTAGTTGACTACAGTTCGAGTCTCACACCCGGCAACTTAAGACTCACATGGGGGGTGGGGTGTGTGCGTGCATGCCCAAAATCCCAAGAGAAGATTGGAGAAGGGATGGCAGCATGGTCATCCCCCTTGGAGGGTGGTTTTTCCCTTTATGTCTCTCTGTGTCTCTCTAACTCTCCAGTGAGCACATATGCTCTATAGCAAAAAATCTCTAAATATATATAAAACATTAGTATGAAAAATGGTTGTATAACAGGGAACCAGAAAAAATTTCTTGTCTTGTAAGACAGACTAACCATTTATCCTACTGAATCAGGTAAATGACTTTTGCTAAGACACTGAGAAGTAACCTTTCGCATCTGGGCAACCATGTGTAGGAAAGTGATCATGCACAGGAACCAGAAAATGCCTCTAAAGTTTTTAAATTAATAAGTACAGCAGTCTTCAGACATAGCAGGGTCACCATGGGAACAAAGACTATGTCTCCAAGGTAATCATATATAAAAGTATCCAGATTTCATTTATCCAACTCGAATCACTCTAGAATTCTGAACCTGTTGGTCACTCAACAGAAAACATGTACTCTACCGATTGAGTGAAAAAAAAAAAATCATAATATTTGTAAAGCCTGGATGGATAATTAGTTCTGAAAGAAATACTGTGCTTACTAAATTTCAGGCAATATGCCCTAGATCAAGTTATACTTATAAACAAATGTGCTGTTTTAATTATCAGGACCTATTATCTTACACATCCCTGAAAATGAACACGCTACTAAGATACCATATGCTCAATTTCAGTTTGTGTTAAGGCCTGCCTTCTGGCAGGTTTGTGTCTGAGGTTGCTCTAGAAAATTCCCTGAAACTTAGTAGGTTAATGATTATGAAATTGGGAGTGTGTCCACAAGCAAATAGACTTCTTTCTTTTGATTTTTTTTCCTTAAACTTTTTATTGCCATGACTTTCTGGTTAATTAAGCATTATATTTCTCATCAAGTAGTCTGATGTGCTAGATGTTTCTCTGGCAGACGAGAAATGGACATTGATTGACTTTTTGTGATTATCCCAGTTAGCAGGCATGATCTTGTCTTTGACCCATCTACCAGAGGCTAGAAATACAATCATATTTAAGAAAACAAAGGAGGGCAGTAAGTAGATGGCATGGTGGTTAAAGTGTTAGACTCCCACATGGCTGACCAGGGTTTGAGTCCCGGACCTAGAGACTTGAAAATCACACCAGGCACATGTGTGTGTGTACTCAAAATCCTGAGAGGAGAATGGTGGAGAAGGAATTTGCAGCATAGCCATCTTCCCTGGGGGATGATTTCCCACTTTCTCTTTCACTGTCTTTGTATCTCTCCAGAAAGTACATAGGCCCTATAGCAAAATCTTAAGGGGAAAAAAAAAAAAAAAGGAAGAAAAGAAGAGGTTTTACAGAGGCTATTTTGTACTAGGACCTTGGGCTACTAAACCTGGATAACACACAAGGGAGAGTCTTTGCTTAAAGACTTCACAGTCCCTTCATTTAGCCCTCTTAGGGAAATTTGTACCCATTCGTGACTCACCTGGGTTTGATATTTCACCACTGACTATTGTGCCATGGTTTTGGCAGACTGTGCATTTAAAAAGCTTTATCAAAGAGTGTCTTACTAGTTACTCTTCACTGTAGCTCAGTGCTGCCTTTATCCATAAGTCTCATTCTCCTCTGTGCCTAAAAGGTTAGAGGATGAATGCCAGGCCCCGTGCTGAACAGGCTGTTCAATTTCCTGCTCACCCACTATTCTCAGATGTCAAAGGAGACTAGTGGAAAAATGTGTACACTTTTTACCTACTATACACTGAGCCCAGGCTATTTATTTTCAAACTTGTCCCCTAAGAGTATAATATTCTTTTTGCATTTGCTTCTATTTATTGCAGACTCCTATTCTAGTGAACACTTAATAATTGGTCTGATTCTTGAGGTCCAATGGGCCAGAAAAAATAAAAAATACGTTGTTAATGTTAAGTGTAGAAATATCATTGATCCTTAGGAGGTCATAATATCAAGCTCACTGCTTGTCTTAGTGTGTTATTGAATTACTAACAGAAATATCTAAGGCTGGGTGATTTATAAAGCAATGGATGTTTATTCAGTTCATGGTTTAGAGGCCTGAGGTCCAGGCACCAAGCTCTGTTGAGGTTACATCACGGTGGAGGCAAAGATTGTGAGCAAAGCAGCTGTGAAAATGTTTCTCTCCCTTGTTCTGTGCTGTAGCCACATAGACTCTGCCTGCCTCATGTTCCCTTCTTCCATGAACACCAAAACTCAACCCTGAGAGCTCTATCCTAATGACTGCATCATACCTGAATGCCCTGCCTTGGGATACTATGAAGTTATTGAGTTTTCACTTAACATCTCCACAGTACAATCAGATCCCAACACATGAGTTTCAAGGAGACATCCAAACTAAAGCACTCCTTTTCCTTATTGATTTTATAGTACTAATACTGATGTAATATTATTTGGTAAAGGGAATAAAGAAGTTCAGGAAAAATGATACATATTTCCATTCTCAACAACATTTAGGGAAAACAAAACACACAAACAGACAAACATGTCACAGAAGCTTTTATATGGAGCTCTGCAAGCTTTCTTAGGTGCTAGGACATAATTGTATATCCTTTCTTCTAACAATTCCAGTATAGCAATACTACAGTTAAATGTCTTATAAATTACTAGCCCCATAATATACTTAGCTTCTCTATAGAGACATATCATACTATTTTCTAAGCACAAGTGGCCCTGACTTTCTTTTCTTTTTTGAGAGACTTTTGCGATAAGGCACATATGCTCACCATGTGGGAGTCCAGCATCTCAAACACCTTGACCACTATGTCACCTGCTGGTCTCAGCCCTGAACTTTTAAACAAGGTTGGCAGTATGCAGGATTAGTGGAGTATAGGGAACTTCAGTGGACCCATTTCATTCAGTAATATATCTTCTAGTATCGCTTTAGGAGGTTAAAGTGTTATGGACAAAGAATGCAAGTGCTTTGCGTTCATGTGCTTATTCCATGTACTAGGGTAAATAAGAACAGAAGAAGGAGAGCTGTGAAAGAATGAAAACTGGGATAGGTAGATATAATGTAGGTAAATAGGAGGAAAAGGACAGAGGACACACCCAAGCGAGGTGGACACAGGGCCACATTTATTTTGAGGACACCGAAACAGCCATGGGGAAGATGAACCCAGCTGATGTGTAAGTGCCAAGAGGAAAGGGAAACACTGAAAAGAGCTCAGGCATGACTCAGAAAACAGATTTTGGTCTCTTTAATTTTTCTTGAGAAATATTAATAGTTCTTTTCTTTATTCTATTCATTAAACCCTTAGGTTAAAAGAACAGAACAGAATTGATCACTACTTTGCAAAGTGGTCAATTACTGCATCTTTGTTATTTCTTTTTCTTTTTCTTTTTTTTTTTTTTTTGGTTTGTTTATTTAAAGTTTTTGCTATAGGGCAAATGCACTAACTAGAGAGAAACAGAGACAGACACTCAGAGGGAAAGTGAGAAATCACACCCAGAATGGATGACTGTGCTGCAATCCCTTCTCCTCCATTCTCCTCCCGGGGTTTAGGGCACACATGTACATGTGCCTGGTGTGATTTACAAAATGCTAGTTCTAGGACTCGAACCATGGTGGGAGTCTAGCTCCTTAACCACCACACCACCTGCTGCCCCCCCACCCGGTTTTTGTTCTTCCTTTTTTTCCTTTTTTCTTGTTGCTTCCTTTCTACACCGCCCCCCCCACCTCTGCTTCTTTGAACATCTTTCCCTCTATCTTTTTCTCTGTGGTCTTAATATTTTCCTGCCCTCATTTATTTTATCTTCTTCTCCCTCCTCCACCTCTTTTTTTTTTTTTTTTTTTTTTTGAGAGATTTTCATTGTAGGGCGCGTGCGCTCGCCAGACAGACAGAGAGAGACATAGAGACAGAAAGCGAGAAATCACCCCCCAGGGGGATGGTCACGCCGCAATCCCTTCTCCTCCTTTCTCCTCTCGGGATCTTGGGCACGCACGCACACGCGCCTGGCGTGAGTTTTAAGCCACCGGGTCCGGGACACGAACCGCGGTCGACTATGTGGGAATCCAGCGACATAGCCATTACACTAACTGCTGGTTCCCCTCCACCTCTTTTTTCACTACCTCTTCATCTCTTCATTCTTCTTTCTCTTTACACTAACTGCTGCACACACACACACACACACACACACATGCACGCACACACACATACACACATTTATACATCCATGTTACATAAACCTGTGACTATGATTGACCTTCAGGAAAATTGGCCTTGCTCAGTAATTTGGAAGATAACTAGTGGTAATTCTTCTGGCCATGACTTCACCTCTACAAGCAATCTTGAGTTAATCTCTGGGTGGGGTGGTTTTTAATAACTAGCTGCCACTTTTT